CTTCGAGACGTGAGCAAAGTCTTCCAAGGAATTTACTTGGTAATAGAAAATGCTTGTGCGAGTTGGAATGTATTTGTAGGCGAAACCGGCGTGCTTTGAGGAGAAGGATAAGTTTCTGCGTCTTTGGCTACACGAGTGTTGCCGAGTCTTCATGGACCGCCTCATTAGCGAGGAGGATAGAACTAACTTCATCTCAGTGATCGACAATGTGATGGATGAGACTATGCAGGTCCGCGTTAAAGAGGTCGGACGCTGTTGCTTGATGGAGTGCGGGAGGATGTCTTGTCGCAGATCATCGAGCGGAATGAGCATGTATACGACATTGTTTTCGGTGGAGCTGATTTGAAGAATCACGAGGCGGAGGACCCCCCATACGACCAAATGGTGGACAAGAAAGGGTTGAAGTTGTTCATGGAAGCTAAACTGGAGAACTACAATGACGAGATGAAAGGCAGAGCGATGGACATTGTGCTGTTCAAGGATGCAATCGAGCACTGCCTCAAGATTCTTAGGTCAGGATTGTGTGTATCAGCTATCGTAATGCGGTGGCTTTGTAATTCTTTGCGGGTTGCCGCTTCTGGTGTACAGACCTCGCGGCCTAGGTTTTTATGAAAATATTTTAACTGCGCACGGTATGCGTCTTCGAGAATCGTGCTCACTCAGGATAATACGCATGCCTCGAGGCAATGCCTTGCTAGTGGGGGTTGGTGGCAGTGGTCGTCACTGCCAGACGCGTCTGGCATCATATATCGCCGAGTATAAGTGCTCCCAGATAGAGATCAACAAGAACTATAATCATCAGAAGTATCTAGTGCAGTCGGGGTGTTGTGGCCTTTGAGGGTTATGGTAGGTTCCGCGAAGACATCAAGGCCATCTATGAGACGGCAGGCGTGAAAGCACAGAACGTGACGTTCCTCTTCAGCGACACTGAGATCTGCGATGAAAGCTTTTTGGAGGATGTATCCAATATACTCTCCAGTGGAGAGGTGCCCAACCTATATGCAGCCGACGAGCTCAACCAAGTGAGACAGGATAAAACCCTGTGTGATGCTTGAGAACGTCGTTTAGGTCCGTACTGCTCTGGAGAAGCCAGCGAAGGAAGCAGG